TTCAAATCCCACCTCTACCTACTCCTTACCAGTAGTGTGATTTAACCAGGATAATTAAATCTCATGTCTTCATTTCTTCATCTCTAAATAGGGATATCTGCCTTAGAAAATAAACTACTTTGGTGAGATTACTTAAAATAATGTTTGTGATGTGCTTAGCATATTGGCCAACTCATATGAATCATTTTAGAACGGCAGCTCTTACCATTGCCTCCAGCTCCTCTAACTGCTGCATCTGACTGTCTCTCATCTACCTGAGCACTGGGAGCAGGTGGTGAAGCAGAGCCCAGCAGCAAAGCAAGGCAGAGTGGCGATCCTAGCTCCATCACCTGCATTCTGAATGCCCCTGGAAAACTGGTCTCAGCCTTGGCAACTTTTCTCAGAAATACCTCTGCCTTTTAGGTCATTATGTCTCCATGACATAATTTTGAGACTTATAAGAAATAAGCCAAAAGAAAGAAAAGACTTATAGGAAATAAGTCTCAAAAGGTGCTCACTTATTTTTGAGTATAATTCCAGCTATTTTTGCCTACTTCCTTCTTCCTGACTGTGCAAACTGGTGAACATCAGCCTTTCTGGCCTCTCTTATAAATCAAAAACAGTTTGTTGTATAAATTTTATGCATATTCCACAAACAAAAATATGTCATTTTAAGTTATGAATACATGGATAAATTCAAAAACGTTAAATGACATTCATTTGAAATTGGGGCAATTACAAAACAAGGTCAGGTTGATGCTCTTAGTGTAAAGTCAGCCTATGTTCCACTAGGTGGCAGACCTTGTTAAAAAGTTATGGAAAGGGTGGGGGGGGGGAGAAAGCAATGCATCTTCCACAACTGACCAATAGGTGTCTCTTTGCAACCACATATGCCTGAGCTGTAGTTATCACATAGATAATTTCAACATTTCTGCAGTCTTTCTAAAGTCATCCTACAGATAAGATCATCAACACTTTCCACAAGACACAAATAGAATACTGAAGAGATGATTATCTTTTATTTTGCATAATACACTAATCATACTAAATCCATCTAAAGGGAAATGAGATGATAAAAACATAACTAAGAATAAGATTCTGAATACAAGTGTTTTGACAGATCTCATTAAAATGCTGTCCGTAAGTTAAGGTTTCTTTCTGAGGTGATCTTAAGTATTTGCCAATCATATTTAATGGTACTTAGTGACCCATCAGGAGTAGAGCTAACCCAAACAAATGTACAAGGCTAGTGGCTATGAACTGGTGAATATGGCCCTAGGAACATACAGGAAATAATAGAGATTCCTAAACACTAAAGGGACTCCGTGATATCACTATTTGTTACTATTGCTTTTCACCCCAATTTAGATACATTCACTCTCTCTCACATACACATGTTCATGTGTGGCCTTGCTGGTGTCATTTAGATATATGTATGTATGTTAAGTGTGTACATGAGGTCCGTCCACAACTGCAAAGAGGCTCTCCTTACTATACAGTTCAGAATATATAAACAGAATCCTATACCACTTAGATAATTTTTTTCCATGTAGGAAAATATTTGTCCCTAAATCGTTCTGAAAGAAATTAGGGATAAGTATTAAACATAACTTCCAGATAGAGAAGCTCAGGAACTAAAAGGAAACATTTAGGTCTTGGCTTATTTTATCTGAGATTGAATTGAAAGATGAATTAGGGATGCAAATATCATATATGTACAAAACTACAAAATGACATCACATCTATGTCATTCAATCAAGTTACATATAATAAACCCTTTGTTCCTAGCTAAATAGATTTTGAATGTTGTAATGCATTATAATATTCTCCAGATCTCAAAGCCAGATATTTCTTAACTTCATATCATGCAAGGTCTACAAATATGCCATCAATTGAAAGGCTATTACTGCCCTCTCCAAGGGTCATCGTACTACAAACCAAAGCTGGAAAGAGACACTGTTCATTTTGGAGGCAGGACCCAGCACAAGATGGGAGTATTCAGCATCCACTACACTGTGATTCCTCCCTGCTTCACTCACTCTGTTTTCTAAATCTGACAGTCAATACCTGCACTCCTAAACAGCTAAATGTGCACAAATGTCTGTGCAAAGTAAACAGATCCAAGGTGCATTCCCAAAGCTTGTGAATCTCATTTATTTCCCTACTTGGTAAGGCAAGAATGTGTCAAAAAGTGTGGGGCCAGGAGGAACCCCACCGCTCCAGGAAGCCTGTGGGTAAGACTGAGCCTCCCCTGAACTCCCAGACCTTTAATTAGCAAAGTTGTTCACAAGTTATCTTGGTCAGCTTCTACAGAAAACAGAGAAAATGAGACTGTCAGTTACATCATGTCATGGCAATTAGGGAATCAGATTACATGGGCTTCTGGGGTCCCACACTACCACAGAATCATCCACAGAAATCAGGAAGGAGAAAGGACCCCGAGTGGTGTGAAGGCCTAGAGAGCAGGGTTTTTTAAGCTTCCCTAATGTCATCAGGTTTCCTCATTTCTCCCTACCCTACATCAAACTGCTGGGAGCTGAAGGGCGGAACCTGTGCCTGCCTGCCTGCCTGCCTTGAACATACCTGTGCCCACGGCTTCCCCCAGGCTGGCCGCGTCCACAGTAGCTCTCAGGACAAGCACCATTTCCTTTCAGGACTACTCCAATCAGTCTCCTCAGGTAATGCCAGTCCAACCTCGGATTGATTCCTCACATTAGCAAACACACTTGTGTTTGTTTTGCCCTCTCAGTCACTGGCTGATTTCTATTTGATTCCAGAATTGAACATTTAAAATCTAGTGCCCATTTTCTTTGCAAAAATTTCTGTTTCTGGACAAGAGAAAGTCTTTTCAGTCAATGACCACAGCTAGCTCCCACATGTGAGCCCTCCGGCTGGCAGAAGAAAAGGAAACCTCTGTCTTGTCTTTGCAGAGTCCCAGCAGCTGGCTTTTGGGTGTGGCCTTGACTTTTCTGCGTGAGTTTTCACCACCCGGTTCTGGCGCCAAGTGCCCTCCGCTGTGTCTGAGCAGAGCACCTGTTTAGTCTGTGACTCACGCTATCAGCACGCGGACTCTCCCTTCCTCAGACAGCAGCCAGACCTCACACGGGCCTGCGTGCGACTGGCCAGCACGCGGGGCTGTGCAATGGCATGCCTCCCGCACCGGCCCAGCACTGTCCGCTCCCCGGGGCGCAGTGGTGTGACGCAGACTTGTGTAGGGCCCCCATTCCTGCAGAGGGGCTCTCCCGGTTATGCCTTTGGAAACCAAATTCAGGCTTTTTTTTCAGGCATAGTGAATTGCTGTCAAGCTTTATGATTGAAGTTTTTAAATAGACATTTTAGCAGATTGTCTTGTTTTTTAACTACCAGCAAATAAAGACCACAACGTCTCCTCTCTTCTCTGTTGGGGACAGATGCTGCAGAGGGAGGAAGTAAAAGCCGCCCAGTGTGTTTTCTCTACATGATCTCCAACAAAATGTGTGTTTTTCAGGAAATGGGGTGGAAGGGGTAAAGAAGATGAGTTCTAATAAACCTATGTGCCTAAATCTGAACAAATGCTCACAAAAAGTAGCAAACTCAGAAAACTGGCTCTGATATTTCCTCCAGTTACAGTTTGAGGAGAAATATAATGTGTGTCTTCATACCTTCCTGTCTCCTACAGATAGAGATCCCTTAACATCAGGGTTCATCTAAATGCCATTCCCTGTTTGACACCTAAATTAGCGACTGTTGGAAGAAATAAGAGGAATCATTGGAATTAGCTGGGGAAGACGCCGACGACTCTCACCCCTCCCACACACACAGTCCTGTTTTCTCACTCCAAGAGGAAGAAGCCACCCAGCCTGAAAATGTACTTTTCTCTTAGAAGTCTTGACATCACCACTATTATTTCCTTTTTCACTTTTTTCTTTCAACACCTGTTAGAAAAAAGAGTGATTTTCATGCAAATTCTTCCTTAATCTCTAAGCAAAAAGTAGAGGGTAAAAATCTGAAATGGATAGAGATGCTTCAAAATATGGGTGACATTTTTTACTCTACGCCACTTTGCAGTATTTTTACATTTAATGCCATGTACAATATCAAGATATCTTTGCTGGTACCAGTCTAGCTTCTCAAAACTTTAATCAACCAGCACTCACAGGAGTATTTTTTTTTTTTCACACAATACAAGAGACTGGCAGATAGTGACGTGGATTTTGATGACTTTGTACAGACCCAAGAAGCACCAGGAAAAGCAGATGAACATTTGAATTGAATAACTGTCTCTAAACACCCAGGCACGCTTTTTTCCCCATAAAAATACATTGTGACGCTTGAAAGGATACCAACTTTTTGTTTGTGAGACAATTTCCAGGGTTCCAAAATGACAGTTTGGCCCCTCCCCCCAACTCCCGGCCAGCGTTCCTTTTTTGTTTGCAGTTTCCCAGTTCCTCTGCATTTCTTTCTTGCCACCATAACTAATACAGTGACATGATTACTTAATTTCCCTGAGGAAGCGCCGCCTCAGGCTCTGTGGTAGCCCGGGGGACCTCAGCACCGTCCCGCCCCGGCCCGGCGCTTCCCAGGCCCGGGCAGCCCCGCCGGGATCGCGGCCTCCGCTCGCCCGGCCTTTGTCTTCGCGCCGCAGAGGGCCTTTTTCAAGAGCCAGGAGTTAATTATTTGGGCTCTGTGTAAGTCGAACCTCTCCAAATGCCACTTCCAAATATAGGCTTTCGTTAACAGCGGCGGCTGGCCTGGTGTCGCAGGACGGCCTCGCCTTCCCCGGCGCACACTTTGTCCCCTGGCGCTGCCCCCTCCCCGCCCTCCCACATCTGGAAGCCAGGCCGGCCTCGGGCAGGAATCCCGGCCCCGGCGACCGACCGGCTCTCGGAGAGCGCGGACAACTGGCGCCGCGAAAGAAGTGAAATTACCTCTCCTGAAAATATTTAAACACTTTTTTTTTCTCTTCACTGAAATCCTGAAAAACAGTCCATTTTGAACCAGAATAATTTAGTCTGACAACAGATTCTTCCTCTGTTCACAGCTGTCCCAGAGGGAGGAGCTGAAATCTGAACCTCTCGGCTGTGATTGGATCCTTCCTGCAAAAGCCAGGGGAAAAAACCCTCCCAGCCCCAGCAGGCTCAGTTCGTAAAGGAGCCCGGCGACTCGAGAGGCGCCCGCCGTCCGCCGCACCTGAGCGCGGCCCTGGCCAGCCCCGCGGCCGCGATGCTGTAGGGCCCGGCCCGTCCTCCCGCCGGACCGTTATCCGCGCCGGCGCCGCTGGACCCGCCGGCAAGATGCCGCGCTCCTTCCTGGTCAAGAAGCATTTCAACGCCTCCAAAAAGCCAAACTACAGCGAACTGGACACACACACAGGTAAAAAAGGGGGAAAAAAATTAAGTGTATCTGTAACTATGTATCTGTAAATCGTTAAAGATATAGATTTGAGAATCTGAGTGTTGCTACTCAAAGGCTAGTACAAAAGAGCTAAAGACTCAGCTGCTTTTCCCTTTTAAACAGCGTCTCCAAAGAGAGTGTCTATTCTTTTGATCATTTAAGAGTAAATTTTAATTCAAAACGTTTTCAGTTCTTAACTACTGACAAGGAAATTTTTATTCAACTCTGGCAGCTTCCTTTTCTAACGTTTGTGTACGCGCAGGATGTGTTGTTGTGTGTGAAGACGAGCAGCACAGTTCACATAAATGTTCAATGACTGCTTTTCTCATGGAATGAGGCTCCTTCTCCTTAGAAGGCAGCCTGATGCACGTATATCTTTGTGCACATGGTCATAATACAAGTAGCCCATGCATAAAATGGAAAACAACTTTTCTCTATGTTTAAAAACACTGTCTAGGTTATTCCCCCTCAATGAGGACGGTGAAGGCGCTGGCGTGGCCACAGTCCCTGACTTCGGAGGCTGCTGTAGCTCTGCAAAGCTGTCAGACTGTGTGTGCCCTAGGTACAATAACCCCACAGACGCCAGGGTGGAAATGAATGTTTGACCCATGAGTATGTCCTTCTCAATGAGTTTGTCTTCTTCATTAGAAAACTGTGTGTTCCTCAGTATCCTATGTGCGTGTGGATGTGGATATTTCAGTCGCTTTACCTTAATCTTCATTTCTTTCCTTTTCTTTCCTTCAGTGATCATTTCCCCATATCTCTATGAGAGCTACCCCATGCCTGTCATCCCACAGCCGGAGATCCTCAGCTCAGGAGCATACAGCCCCATTACCGTGTGGACTACGACGGCTCCGTTCCACTCCCCACTGCCTAATGGCCTCTCACCTCTCTCCGGGTACCCCTCATCCTTGGGGAGAGTGAGTCCCCCTCCTCCATCTGACACCTCATCCAAGGACCACAGTGGCTCAGAAAGCCCCATTAGCGATGAAGAGGAAAGACTACAATCCAAGCTTTCAGACCCCCATGCCATTGAAGCTGAGAAGTTTCAGTGCAATTTATGCAATAAGAACTATTCGACTTTTTCTGGGCTGGCCAAACATAAGCAGCTGCACTGTGATGCCCAGTCTCGGAAATCCTTCAGCTGTAAGTACTGTGACAAGGAGTACGTGAGCCTGGGTGCCCTGAAGATGCACATTCGGACCCACACATTACCTTGTGTCTGCAAGATCTGTGGAAAGGCATTTTCCAGACCCTGGTTGCTTCAAGGACACATTAGAACCCATACTGGTAAGGAAAAAAAAAAACCAAAAAAACCGCAGCTGGGAATGTTAATCTCTGATAGAACAGAGCTCTGGGCTGGCTGTAGGATTTGCATGTAGTGACACAGTGTTTTCAGTGATGGATGGTCCTTGATAGCTACTTCCTGACTACTCAGAAAGTTGTTAGAGCACAAAGTACTCCATTTCTTGCTAACAACCTCTGCTCCAGGAACTGCAAACAGCATTTAGACTTTGGAAAGTAGATTCAGGAGGTTTGGTCTCAAAGATCAGTTAGAAAATCAGGAAAGATGTGCTTGGATGTGTGTTCTGTGGAACTGCCCCCACTAATCAGCAAATACAAATGTTGCTATCTTAATCAATTGATTTGGTAAATAGATGAAGAGTTTTCCTATAGTTTTCTGTTAATTACATTCTTGCTGTGATATTTATTACCCCTTAGCAAGTTGCAGAGTTGAACCAAATTTGCTCTATGTCTTTTTTATTTCCTTTTGGTTCTGAATTTCTTATTCCTAGCATAAAATCATCCTGCAGGGTGTCAAGACACTTACACTTCCTTAGTCATAAGAAGAGGGAAAGAGGGAAAAGGGGAGGTATTGGGAAATGTTGGGCAACACTCAACATTAGCTGCACCTGCTGAAGCAGAAAGCTTTAATAAGTGAAAGTCCTAGAACTATGTGCATTATTTCTGCCTGACTAGCAGCAGCGATGATATTCAGTGTAGGATTGTTTAATGCAACATTCGAATTTACCTTAAAAGGCCACATGCTATGATAAATGTCTATCATGGGGACTTTTAATCAAGTTTTAGTGCTTCTCGTTTGGGGAGGGTAATGTGACTGATTTTTATTAATGTTATTTGACTTTATGTTTCCTCTGAAAACACTGACTGTCTTTCTTTTTCATCCCCCACCCTCACCCCCAGGGGAGAAGCCTTTCTCTTGCCCTCACTGCAACAGAGCATTTGCAGACAGATCAAACCTGAGGGCTCATCTGCAGACCCATTCTGATGTAAAGAAATACCAGTGCAAAAACTGCTCCAAAACCTTCTCCAGAATGTCTCTTCTGCACAAACATGAGGAATCTGGCTGCTGTGTAGCACACTGAGTGACGCAATCAATGTTTACTCAAACAGAATGCATTTCTTCACTCCAAAGCCAAATGACAAATTAAAGTCCAAAGGCATTTTCTCTTGTGCTTACCGACCAAATAATATGTATAGACACACATACACACGTGCACACACTGAATGCTGCGAGAGCACGGAATCCATGTGTTTAAAGTTAATCCTTTCCATGTGAAGTTGAAAATTACTATATATTTACTGACAGTTAGATTGAGATAATAAAAGATAAGAACCTTTCTCTTCAAAGATGAAGTGAAAAGCACATTGCATCTTTTCTTGCTAAGAGAGAATGCAAAGATTTACATTGCTGCCAAATCATTTCAACTGAAAAGAACAGTATTGCTTTGTAGTAGAGTCTGCAATGGAATTTCCTATAAGAAGAGAATCTGCCAGACGCTATCTCAGGTGCCTTATAAAGTATTCCAAGTTTACTTCATTCCATGTCTGATGTCTGGTTGCCATTGTTGAACTAAGGCCTTCTTTTTTATTTTTTTTATTACCTGTAATGCTTTAAAGTATATTTTTAAGAGAGAAAAAAGATCGAGAAACAAGCGAATGTATTAAAAGTATTTTTTTTTTGTTTTTGCCAATAAATAGTATGTGCCTTAGGGGAGGAGGGAAAGATTAACTTTGAACATTCCTGGTGCATGCTTCATTTCTTATTTTTTAAAAGAACTCTAATGATTTCTAAAATTATTCAAGATGGGAATAAGTGCAAGAGACAATTCTTAGAAATTCAGTAATGTACTTAAACCATTTTAAATGCAGATGATAAATGCAATAATACAATACCTATTCCAAGTGCCTTTTTTAATTAATTGTATAGTTGATGAGTCCGTGTAAATTTGTGTTTATTTTTATATGATTGAATGAGTTTGTATGAAAGTGAGATGTTGTCTATAGTTATGACTATAAACAATCTGAAGACTTGTGAACTCAATATTTCTTTTTTAAAAAACAATTTTTGAGGTCTTTTTTACAATAAACATTTTTGATTTAAAATCTATTGTTTGTTTACTATTTTCAGAGACTTTACTTGTTCTAGGACTAGTATCAAACCATTATAAAAATAATTATACCTTTTGTTATTAAGAAAAAATAAATTATGTATACTATACATTTCATTATGCATTATATTATGTGTTCTATTATAAGAAAGTAAACTGCCAGTACTTTTTATTCTTAAGATAATACTGTCACATTCAGAAAAGATAGCCTATGACAGTAGTTTGTTAGCTTATCATTTTAACAAAAAATCATACTTTCTGAGTGCTAAAATAGTCATATTATTAATAGTCAAAAATACCTTTCAAAACTTCTTATTTATGTTGATTTTATTATATTAACTTTAGAAAAGCAAATTACAATTACTTATATTATCACATAGGCCACTGGAATAGTTTAAGATTTTTGAAAGAACTATTTAAATATAAAAGAAAATAATAGAAAAACTGCATGAAAAGAACAGGAGGAAAGTGGATTTACTCTGAATTACACAAGTTGGAAAATTAAACCATGCAAAGAAAATGCCACATCTAGTGACATAAAATAAGTGATATGTTTGGCAATGGGAGCAGTACGAAATAATGGAAAGTTAAAATTTCCTTTTATAGAATTTGAACAGGTTGAACAAGCCCCCACCCAAATCTAATATGTACTTGAGAAAATACAGCATGAGCGTATGCAAGTGTGTGAGCATTAAATGCACATATACTAAGTCACATGTGGACTAGTATAATGCCCAGGTTCAAATTCCAAACCCATTAGGATAGTTACTGCTTCTGTTCATTGCTTCTCTCTGGTGGAATGAGCAACTCTTACAGAATCATTTTTTTTTCTTGTGTTGTCCTTGTAATACAAATAAAAGCCAGAACTAGTATCTCAAAGAAATTAATGACAGGCCTTTAGCAGATGACCAGAAATAAATATCAATGCTACTCTTTTAGTGCTCATATTCCTTTCTCTGTGTGTTATGTTATATTTTTAGGCAACATTTAAAAGGATAGGGATCTGACTAAGAAAACAATCTTCAGACAATAAATATTCTGCTTTTAAATTTTTTGATATCTCAATGCATATTTCTCAGAGGCAAAATTATTTGGAACAGCAATTTATAAATGTGAAGAAATGGCTGATAGCTTGACTAGGGCATTCTAAAGTTATAAAAACACCAATTTAACTGACTGCAAGCTTCCAAGATAGCTAACGTGTAGAAACATCTTGCAAGGAGAAAATGTGAATGAGTCACTCCCTCTAAGATGTTCTGGTTGGCTATCTGAGGAAGCAAATCTACCCCTATTTCTCTCCCCCATTTGTAGGTCTATAGGCAAGCAGTTTCTTGGTGTTCCAAATTTAAACAGCTAACTTTCTAAAAGAAAAAGTATGTTCATTAATAACTGATTAATGAAAAATTAGTGGTAAAGAAAAAAAAGAAAGAAAAATTAGTGGTAATGTTTTTATTATATATTCAATTTTGCTCTTAACACTCTAATTTCACTTGTTATGAAAATACTTTACTGTCATTAAGATACATGGATATAAATTAAAGTTCATCAGATTGAGGCATTCTATAAATTTGCCTTGGTAATTATTTTAGACTTTTTAGAATTTCTACCAAGGTTGTGAATTCATCCACTGCTGTCCTGCAGTATGTGAAATCCCACTCAAATTTCATTGACTTTCCAAATTCACTCTCTTTATGACCATTTATATGATAATGCTCATCTCGTTACATCACAACCTTTTGTTGACACCTTCTTTTCCACCAGGCAAAACATCCTTAAAGCAGAAATTCCCAGCATCCAGCACTTTACCTGGAACATAGATACCAACAAATGTTTGTGCATAATAAATCAATAAAATATTAGAAATTGGTAAAAGCAAAAAAAGCTTACATATCTAAAATAAATTCAACATATTCTCCCATATTACAAAGAGTTTTTTGATAGTTTCTAAAATATCCTCCAAGCAAATTTATGGGGGTATCCTAACTTAGTGATGAGAGCTCCCCAAATAGATTGGATATCCCCCCAAAATGAAGGGGGAAATACAATACATCTATATAGGTAAGGCCTAAGAACACTGTGAGAGTCTGAGTTTTAAAAACTATGGATTTTATAAGAGGTATATATATGGACACAAGCATTCTCAGTATCCTTAATTTTTTCATACTATTTGAGGCAGTAGAAAGAGCTCAAGCTCTTAAACCTAACAAATATGTTCAGCATATCACTGCCTCACCACTTGTGGACTTTTTATCTTTATGCAAGTTCCTTAACTATTCTTTGCCTCAGTTTCCCAGAGTGCAAAACAGGAAAAGAGTTTCAGTATCACAGATAAAGGACTCCACAGTTCCTTGCACGGATAAGGCTCATATGCCATAAAAATGAGTTCCCAATGTTATTACTAAATGCTTAAAGTGCACAGGCTCTTGTACTAGGAAACTTACATTCATGATTTTCTTTAATGGTAGCAATTTCTCTATGAAGTCTCTCTCTCTCTCTGTCTCTCTCTCTATAGATAGATAGATAGATAGATAGATAGATAGATATAGATACAGATATAGATTTCAAAGATAAGTATATTAAACTCAGAGAGGTTGGATAATGGGCTTAAGGTAACAAAGGTAGCAAGTTGCAAAACTGGAGCCTAAACCCAGAGTCTGCTGTCTCCAGGAACCTTGCTCTTTCCATGGCACCAGGGGATGGAGGAGATTCTACAGCACCACTCTCAGCAAGGGGATTTATGTGTGTAGGCACACAGCAGAGAACTCCTGAAAAGGACAGTGATAACATGCCCTGAAATTGAATAGTCTAACAGTATAATTAGGAACTATCATAATTCAGGAGTTACACAATACACATACAACAATCTTCAGAACCTTTTCCAGTTTCTTCTAGAAATCTGACTGGCTCCACCCCCTCTGGGGTCAGCTGTCTGTCGTGATGTCTCCTCACAGTCCCCCAAGCTTTGCTGGTGCCTGTGAGCCCATGTCCTTGGGTCTGTTCTCAGCCTTGATGGAGAGCAGCTGGTCTCCATCCTCGGGACATTAACACTTCATCTTCTGGAGGCCACTGCTACTCTGTTGAACACCCACACTCCACACCTGGCTTTTATCTTCTTAGACTGAAAAGTCTTTCAAGCTGAACAGTCATTTCTTTCATAACTAAAATGTGGACACTCTGGTGTAATGAGGCAATTATAACTTGAAAAGTATAAGGATTTTTTTGCCTAAGATCCATATCTGAGGAATTGTTCCTAGTTTAGATATGGGAATAATTTGAGCACAATTAATTTGAGAGTGAGTATTCTGTCATCCAGGAAAGCAAGGTTTCTCTAATAAGATGATGTTCTATCACCTTTGTCTCATCAGACACAGAAGAAGAGCTAAAGTGTTCCATTTACCTGAGATGGATATATATGAAGGGAAAAAAGCTCTCAGATTTAATTTTCAACAGTAAATGTGTACAATCTAACAACCAAAGGAGGAAGCCTGTGGCTAAAGTTAGGGTTAGCCCTTAGTCCCCTAGGAAGCAATAATCATTCAGTATAAAGCATGCATGTAAAATTCAACAAGCATGGCAACTTTTCCACTGTGGCACGGGGCCAGACCCAGGAACAATGTAAGATTAGCAGAGGAAGTGGCAGCATGTCCATGTCCACAGATTCCAATGGGCCTGGAAGTTATTTATAGCTCAGAGCAGGACAGCCAGTGTACGAAATGATGGCGTATCAATGTATTTTGTACCACTTCATCTAGTTAGGCTACTCTGGTTATAACAGCTATTTTGAAAATCTGCTGAGCCTGTTCTGATAATTTCTAGAGATAGTTGTAAGACCCTTTGAATGATCACTAAGTAATTTTTGTAGACAATGCCCAAGGGGGAGGCCCTGTCATTCATTCCTTTTAACAGTAGGCATGACAGAGAAGGATATAGTGACATTCTTCAAAAGTTTATTCTGAAGCTGGAATTGATTCCCTTTCAGGTAGGGAGAAGTAGTTAACACATTTCTCCTACTACGTAGTTAGGAAGTTGCAATAGTTGGTTCTAAGGAATAGAAAGGAAAGACGTGGGTTGAATAACATAGAGACACTTTCTCTTGCCAAATAAAATGAATATTAATTATACTTCTTGTTAGTTACAACTCCTGCTGCATATACATCAGATGCCAAAGGTTTAACACTTTCTTGTATTATGTGATAATACATTTTTTAGAATTTTGCAGAAAGGGCTGTAACACAGGATGCCACAGAATCTCACTAAGCTGTAGGTGCTGAGGTCCTGTAAACCTGGATCTAATGACTGTCAAATCTTGCTGTGTCCAGAATACCCTGACAGGTTTGGGTAGGCACACTGTGGGTGGCTTGAGGACATCCTGGCTTGATGGGTCTGGAGTGTCCTGAGAGTCCGCATTTCCAGACAGCTCCCAGGTGATTCCTGCTGCTGGTCTTTGAAGTTTCAGCCCCAGATCGGGCTCCTAATCTGTTCCTCTATTCCCCTTTCCCATCGCAGTTCCTGATCCAGTGTAAGCTTGAGGGGCAGAGGGAGAGCAGGGTTTCTGGAAAGTGACAGCACCAGCCTTTGCCATTGAAGGCTGAGGAGCAGAGGACCTCACAGCACGATGCCCATCGAGCCAGACTGCTCTGCTCCTGCCTCTCTGTTCCAGCAGTCCTCTAAGCCACGAGCCTCCAGCTGCACAATAGTAGTATGACTGGGTTGTGCTTCAGTGTCTGATTTCCACTCTAATTCTCCTAGTAAGTCTTCAGTCATGGCCAAGCCTCACTGTCCTTTGGTGGACCAGAAATGCACACCAGAGAAGCTGCATGTGGCTCTCTGTTGTGAAGCTTCTGAATGAGATTTCTTGCCAGGTCTCAAGAGCTACCCGTAATTGTGTTGCAGACAATGGGAGGAATCTCTACCAAGAAGGAGACTCCCAATTGCTGCCAACATGCTGCTCACACTGTGTTACTTTATTTTATGACATGAGCTTATTTTAAATCA